TTTTTGTATTTTTGATTACAAATATGATAGGTTAAGCAATTGGAATAAATGGAGCGAAAATGAAGCAATTTGGAGTCAAATGGAGCAAAGAAGAAAATTTTGACCCGGCGCCTAGGTGTCAGACGATTACTTCATGCTTCTAGAAGGCTAGCACCTAGGCACTACAGTTGGGCGCCAGAAACTGACTTGACATTTTTTTTAAAGCTTTTTGGATGGATTTTCAAGATGGGTGTGTCTATTCAACTGAGGAGGTAATAGAGGACGCCAGAGGTGAAGATTTCCAAGGCTTTTGAGTGCAGGAGAAGAGGAAAAGTGAAAAATTTCTTTTATTTTATGCATTCCAAATGATATTTGAGTGCAACTGTATGGAGACTTTGAGAATTCTTCAAAGGGACTTCAGAAGATTTGCTTATGGAAAAGTTTGAGATAAGTGTTTTGTATTTTTGTTTGAGTTTTGTTAAATTTTATTGTGTAAATTTGATTTTAAATATCAATCTATGTGTTGTTATATTTTTCTCATGAAATCTGAGTAGTTTTCTTTATCTATCTCCTTGTGATGAGAAATAATCATATATAAGATTATAACTATTTAGAATTCCTTTTATTCCATAATTGTGATGATTCATTATTTCACACTTATTCTACTTATACAATTTGGCCAATTGTTAAGTTAAAACTTGATGTGAACCCATAATGACTCGAGAGGGTTAGGGATTCCTCAATTAGTAAGAATCACACTAATCTAAGGGATAAAAGGTAGTCCATAGGTTAGTGCAAATAGATATGAAGATATGTTTTGATGGGGGTAAATTGGTGATTCTAGGGTGACAGGCTAGAACCTTAATCAATTTGATCTACGGTTTGGAATTAAAGCTATGTTAGCCCAATTGAGGGCTTACGTGGGTACTCTATGGTGACAAGCTAGAATCTACCAAGTATAGTTAAGGATTTAAGAACTTAACTCTAGGTTAGTCAATGTTTTTTAAGCACTCGAAAGGAAGTAAAAAATATGTATGCTCATATTTGTCACAACATTACATTTAAACTTATAAACATTTGATTCCTATACTGATTATGATCTAATTGCAAGGGGAATGACTTCCATGTAATTTGAACTCTTCTACGTAATGCTTGTTTAGAAACATTTATCATTTTTTTTAAGTTTAGAAATATAATTAGTAGGTATACATACTCATTTTTACACATAAAATTTCGATCTTAATTCATAGATAATTTACTTGCAGTTCAAGTAGAGTTATACTTAGTCTATAAAAAGAGTTTTTTTGTTTCCCGTGCGATCGATACTTGGGACTAAAATAAATTTTTATATCACCTAAACGATACATTTTTATCCCAATGAATTTTTGAAAACAAAAATTAGAAAATTTATTTTAAAATCAGAAATACCTAGATTAATAGGAGTAACCGTTATAAACACATAAAAATTATATTATCAACATAGAAAGCGGTCAACGCTTCACATTCTAAAAGCTAAAAATGATTGTTATTTTTGATATAATAGGAAATATTTGGGGGGATTTAAATGTAAAAAGAAGTTTTGGTGGTAGATATGTAAATACAAAGGAATTGGCTGTTAAGCTTTCCCCTTTATTTAATTTATATATTATATTTATTTCAAAGAATTTAAATTTATTATAATAATTTAAAGGAAGATTTATAAAAAAAAAAAAAAAAAAAAAAAAAAAATGAGAAAGAAAGAAAGAAAGAGAAGATTTACATACATTCCACTCAACTAGTATGTATCCGCATGCCTAACATCTGAACTTCAATATTTACATACACACCACTCTATTTATACATCAAAATGTGCCATTTTTAAAATGTTCAAATTGATGAAATAATGTACGTTTGGGGCGACGATGTTGTGACGGTGTGACACCGCACTGCAGTTTATGTGTGCTTTTTCAAGAAGCTGCCGTTTTTTTCCCACCATTCTTGAATTGGTGCGGTGGCAGCTTGCAAGCTACGTTATGACTTAAGAAAAAAATTTATAATAGTCATCGTAACTTTTTAAACATTAGGGCTCTGTTTGGCGCAGCTGCAGCTTCCCAGCTTTTCAGCTGCAGCTGCGCTGGCCCAGGAAGCTGCTGGGGGGGAGCA